GGCGGCGCAAAAACAGGCGCCAGGTGGGGAAAAAAAAAAAAAAAAAAAAAAAAAGACTTACAGAGATTTGCTCCTTACCTCAGTGAGGCCTGGCTCATTTGCTCCCTCCAGGAAGATCACTGACCAAGCTGCTTAGGACACTCATTTCCTTTGATAAGGGTGAGCTCTTCCTCTTTATATCCTGTTCCCAAGGATTAGGTGTAGCTAGACGGCCTGGCCAAGGAGACCCAGAACAGGGCTGTCAAATGGGGCTGGCTTAAACTCTGCCTCCAGGAAAAGTCCATTCACTCCTCCCTCCTTTGACCTAGATGCTTTGTGCCAACTATTGGTAATTTTTAACAAAAGCAGATGTTGAGTAGCTTAGCAATAAACCTTGCAGGTGGATGCCCTCCTGACCTGTCTCACTTATCTCTACAAACAAACCTTCCAGGTGCTAAGCTAAAAACTGTTTTGCTTTCCTCCTGTACCTAGATGAAATCCCAGATGTTTACATCGTGGAGCGTCTGTTCTCCAGCAGCCTCGTGGTTGTGGTCAGTCATGCCAAACCACAGCAAATGAACGTTTACCACTTCAAGAAAGGGACAGAGATCTGCAACTACAGCTATTCCAGTAATATTTTGTCCATCCGGCTGAATCGTCAGGTAAGAGGCTACAGGAATTGGCTAGCCAGAGTTGTCCCACTTGGTGCCTTTGCTGGTGCTGGTTTGTGGTCACCGTGAGTCCTTGTTTTCCTAGCAGTTAAACAAAACTTTTTATCATTTGCCTTCTTGCCTTTTCAGTATGAAATTTTGCTTTAAAAATACCTTTTCATCCTCTTTTCTCTGTTGCATTCCAAGCAACTGACTTCAGTTTTCAGTCTTTCTCTACTACCTCTCTTTCGTTTCAAAGATACAGAAAATGTTTAAGCCACTTTGAGAAGTTTTTAAGGGCTCATTCTCTGAACTGACACAGTCTTGTAGCAGCCATGAACCTTTTTTGGAGGATTTTATGTCATCTTTTTGTCTGTAATTATTTTCCAAGTATATGCTATAAGGAACAAAGGACATTCTACAATAAAGAAATAAGCAGTTTCTGTAATTGTATGCAATCAGCCTCTCCTAGGTTAGCAACAGTGGATCCTGTAGTAAGGCTCTCCTATAAGGAAACTGGGTTGAATTTCCAGTAAAGCTTTATTTGTCCAGAAGTTCCTATACTACAATTAGATCTGTCCTGAATTGATTTTTTTCCCCTGAGACTTACAATGGAGCTGGCAAGATATGGACTTCCCTTTAATTCCAGCTAGGGGTGTCCGTGTGTGTGTGTGCACCGTGGTTTGTCCCAACGTTGGGAAGAAAGCTGCGCTGTAGGAGCAGTGAGAAGCTCCCTTGCAGCCTTGCTGGGTTTTGTTTCTCTGGGCT